TTCATTATATGTTTTTTTCTTTTTTTCTTTTTAACAGAAAAGTCTTACAATAGTAAAGATGGTGACACATACACTAATTCAAATATATAGTAATACTCAATGATACAATAATCACCAAACTAATAACTCTATGGATCATTAGAGCTGAATTCTTGATTCAATTCCTAAAATTGATACTTATACTTCGATGCATCAATTTTTTTTTTGGCCAAACGATGCATCAATTTGACGAACAAAGTCTTTCAAATAATACAATGAATCGATCACTACCAAACACTTGGCCCTCTGATTGGCATTCAAAGCATCAGATCATACTGAACTCAGAGCCATCCAATAGGAAAATGTCATGTATTTTTTAAAGAATACAAGAGGTACGTACTTAGAAATTTTTTTAATTCAAATCTTTCTTCTTTTTCTGATGTTTTTCTGTGGATTGTTCTTGATTGAATAAATTTTCTTATGAATATATTTGGTTACTAAGAAATCAGAGAAAAGAAAATAATAGATAGGAGAAAATTAAATTCAGGAAATTAGGAATAAAGACTGATTTGAAAACTAGACTAGGCTATTTCAAGTCAACAAATTTACTGAGTGATATACTTTGAGAAATTGTTACTTTTGCTCAGTGGAGGTAGAAAAATTAGTAAAATGTGTATTCATTTTTTTAATTTTTATATTAAATTAATAATGACAATTGCTTTTTTCGTTGCAACGACACTTAAATTGTGACATACGGGTGACATAATGGAAATTAAAAAATAGAGTTATACATTTCACATGTAGGTCTGTTGGTTCAAAGCAGGGTGGGGGAGATTTTATTCTCACTTTGTTTGGTTTGTTAAAAGGGAAGGGAGAGCGGAATATTTAATGATCCCTTATTTGGTTCAAGAGGAGGAGAAAAGGGATAATAATAATCGATTTACCATTTTAACCCTTATATATTGTTTATATTTTTTTATTGATATATTATATCAATTAATTTACATCTTAATTTAAGTTATATAATTAATAAAAATTCAGTATTATCATATTAATATGTGGCACTAAAAATTGGTACAATATTTTTTCATTCTATTAATATAATAATATATTTGAAATAATCAAATCAACAAATTTTATATGCTCTCAAAATTTGTGAAATTTTATTCTCGTAGGCTATGCTTTTTTCAGCTTTAAAAATATATTAATAAATAATATATTTATAAAAAAAAATGAATTTTAGAATATTATAATTTGTTATTTAAGTAATTTTTAATTAATTTTATTATAACATTTTTAAATTATAATAATTTATATTTTTTACTTAGGATAATATATTTTTATTAAAAAATAAATATTATAATAATATATTTTGTAGGGTGGTAGTGAAATATTAAAAAAATAATAAAGGTATATGATGGGATAAAAAATTTAGCTCCCCTCCAAAAATCTCCAATTTGGAGAGGGAGGGAGATAAAATGAGGGGAGCAAGGGGGCGGGAGGGAACATTTTGGCTTCCCTCCCCTCCAAAATTGTTAACCAAAATGAGGGGAGGGGCTCATTTTCCGTCCCCTCCCCTACCCTTCCCTCCAATCAAACAAGCCCTTAGAATCAATTTGATTTTTTTGTCTTTTAAAAAAATTAAAAAAAAATTCAGATGTAAGATGCTTGCAAATCCTCAATTATTTGTTTGACCATTTCTCATACCATATTATTTACTATTATCTCCTTAGTAAATAAAATAGTAGGAAGGTTGAATTTGATTTTAAACACGATATTTAATCCATTTATCTCTCATATTTATAATTTTTCTAAACTAATTTACCAAACTCATAAAGTAGTATATAATCTAATATCATATAGAAATATTTTAGAAATATCATGTCACATTTGTTATCTAATTAATTGGTTTTCTAAATTAATTAAATAGTTCTTATATTAAGAACCTAACCTAACCTAACCTAAAAAAACATATAATATAATTACTAATGGCCTTATTATATGTTTTTCTTTTGTGACAGACAAATCTTACAAGGACAAGAGACAAATGCACCAATTCAAGTAGCAAATCATGCTCAACAACACTATAATCATCAAACTAATAACTCTATGCATCATGGGCTTCTGCCATAGACATCCCTTGAATTTAATTCATTGCTCTATAAGAGGCAACACTTGGCGGATCAACCTTCGCTTAACTCAAGGGCACCAAATGAAGTTCAAACCGATATCAACAAGGGAAAGTCATGGACTGAGGAAGAACACAGGTTTGGGTATGCATTGAAAATTTCTCAATTCTGTTTGATATTGGTTTCTTGTTGTTTTTAATCCTAAACGTCCTAATATATTTTCTTTTGTTGTCTAATTATGGGCTATTTCTAATTGGAATGCAGAGATATGGGAAGGGAAATTGGAAGAACATTGTGAAGTATAGGATGCCAGCTCAGGTTACTAGCCATGCTCAGAAGTTCTTTAATCATCAAATTAACAAAAGGAATAGAAAGAGAAGAAGAAAAAGCATCCATGATACCACCTATCCTAGTGTTTACCCTGAACGTCAGCGTCAAAACCAAATTGTTCATTCAAGCCTTCCAATGCATCAATCTTCTAACCCACAAAATCCCCATTACGTTGTTCAATCCGTTCTCTTTGTAAACCCTACTAGCACATCTCTTGTGTACAGATTTTTGTCTTCAACTAATTTTGTAGCATACAATGATTGTTTGTTTTCTTGCATTGTATGTTAGTAGAATGCTTTTTTATCATAATCATACCAACCTCTTTTCTCACGGGAAAAAAAAAAGAGTAAAATGTTTCATTTTTACACGTTAAATCTGAGAATAGCCAGTAACTTTCTTTAAATTTCTCAATTATTTGGATTCAGACACGCTTTTCTGCACATAGAACGGAGTTTGAATGAATAAATACATACACATGTGTTGTTTGCTTATGATTCTTTTTTCTTAGTTATGTAAACTAAGACATTTGAGCATGTCGTTGTATTAATGCTTTTGAAATTGGATCGCTATTTCTTGCCCACCCTAATCCGCATAGTATTTGCTCAAAACTGCTGTATGACCTCTCGACTTCCTCTGTCATCATAAAAGTCCCACTGCTATGCTCCCCTAAATGCCCACACCAACCACGTGGTGAAGAGGCCGATTAACGGATGTAGGCGAGTCGCTGAAAAGGGTGATTTTGACGGTCAAGTTGGGATTTGGAGTGTCATTCAGGGGGTGTTTGGATGAAACCAGACCATGATTTGAAAAATAGCTTCTGGAAAATATATTTTGAGGAGAACAGATTTTGTGGAAAAGTGATTTTAAAAAGTGAGAGTGTTTAGATAATTGTTATTAGAAACACTTTTTATATATATAAATTACTAAAAAAAATATAAGTTAATATGATAATTACATAAAAGATAGATTTTATGATATATTTTAATTTGAAGGAATAAAATTGTTAATAATATATTTTTTACCAACATGATAAATAATACATAAGATAATGTAATTAATAAATAATTAATGTGTATATATTTATAAGATATAGGATTAAATATGTTTATAAAAAAATAATTGAGAGATGTTAAAGTCATATTATTGTTGAGATCTACCCAAACAGACATAATCATACTCTCCAATTTGAACTAGAAGTAGAATAAATTCATTTCTCCTGAAACCATGGTTTTCGACTTCAAAACCATGGTTTTGGCCCAAATCATAATTTCAAATTATTGGCCCAAAATTGATGTTATTTGGGTAACATCCCACTCAAACCATGGTTTTGCCTCTCAAACCATGGTTTTGGGAGGCACCCAAACAGACCCTCAATCTTTTCCTACTTTGGAAGTGTTTTTCCCCTCCTTTTTTTTTTTAATGATTAGATTCTACGTTAGTGAAATTTTGAAGGCAAAAAAATGATGCACTTTTCATTTTTTATATTCTTTACATAAAACTAAACTATTTTTTTTTATGGAATATAAAAATTTCATTATTTTATGTAGAATTTAATGACAAAAAGAAACGAGAAAAAAAGATTTGAGGAGCAAGAGAAAATTGAGAGGCAAAAGAAGGAGTGGCTGATAAGGGACAACTAACACTCTAAATTTGGTGAGTATGGTGACGCCAACATATGAGACGAGAACACGGAATGAACCTGTCTTATTTACTTTTATTTTATGTAAAATTCGTATGGAGTTGAGTTGAACTAGGCATAAGCAACTTTTAGTCACATATCATAAGCAACTTTCTCGGTGAAGCATATGAGCCGCTCTGTGACCAGGTATAAATCACTTACAGGATGAAAATTTGTTTTTTTTTAAATATAAGTCATTTTTAAGGTACTTAATGACTTTTTTAAAATTTTATTCCTATTAAATATTAAAAAAAAAGTGCTCGAGAGTGTACAAATATATTTTTTTTTCAATACCTTTTTCTTTAATAAGGGCAAGCGTGGTAAATTTTATCAATTTAATGTATTACTTAACATATTAGAATATGATGCAAGTGACTTATATATGACGCTGGTAGGGCATAAATTTTTTTTTAAAAAAAAAAAGAAGGAAAATTAATTTTTCACTCGTTAAATTTTTTATTCATTTATTGCTCAGTCTATAAATTCTTGACTCGCCTAAAATTCAATTCTTAATTTTTTTCATCATTTATAACTTTCATTGCTTTTTGCTGTACTCTGTCTTCAAGGAATATCCTTTATAAAATGAAACTGTAGCGGCCGAGCTGGTTCCTATCATATCCTCTGTATAATCTATTCATTCATATCACCCACCCAACCATTAACATTAAATTGATGGACTTGTCTTCTTTCTAACATTTGTCTTTGTCCTATCCTTACTCAACTCTCTTCCCATTCACGCGCTTTGTACTTGTTTCTCTTCCCCCTCCGCCTTATATGGGGAACACCCAATCGGTCTTGGAGGTTCTCTTTTTCACTTTCCTCTTGTCTGACTTTCTCTCCATCAATGCGGATAGAAGAGAAGAGCAGAAACATGACATTGAGAGTCAAAGAATTTGAGGGAGCACAAAGGACCTGGAAGAGTTCAAAGGAGGTGGAGGAAGAGTGATTGGAAGCAATGCCGTGACCAAATAGAAGCTTGGTAGGATTATTTCCTCTTCTTCCCTTTGATTATTGTTCTCTCTTTTGTGCTTTACGTATTTCAATCTTCCACGGATTCAACTTTCTGCTCATGCAACATCCAGATTCTTCCTTTACTTCCTGTCGTTTATCTTACATTTGAAAATGGGACTACATATTTTTTATTTTTTTTTAAAGAAAAGCCTCTTCCTGAACTAGTGAACTTGGTATTTCCTTCAAGGTTGGGATGCTGCGACGCTCCAGTCTTGTAAGCCCTTATTTGGCATTTTTTGTGTTTTCTATCCAAGCTGGTCCCAAGTAACTCAACGGGCCCCTTTAAAATTTTCTGTCAGTATATTGCAATACTTTGCAGACTCAATTAAAATAACGTTTGAATGTCTGATAGTTCATGCTGTTCCTCACATATCACTCCTTCACTTGCTCGCTCATCACTCGGAAGCATGAATTAGTCATGCATATGTGTCACACAATATATTAGGAAAGATTGCATGAAATGTGTTTCTCACTAAAATCAGCGTTATGTTATGATATTTTATTTGGGATGCCGTTGTTCTAATATTTTTCTGCTTTTTATGAATTCTGTGTATGGTTTTGGAGATCATATATTTGACTTTTCATTATGTTTTCAATATGTAGCTGACAGAACACAGTGGCTCATGCAATATACGATTTTCTGCTTATATTCCTCTGTTTGTTTGAATTCCTTGGAGCCAACCATGGAAGTTGTTGGACTTGTCTCAAGGATCATAGGCGTGTGTTGCCCTGTGCATGAAGTAATTGAAAAAGATTATAAACAATTGAGAACATCAAAGAGGAGTATTCAGCGGCTGAATATTTTGATGCAATTTTGATGCAACAGTTGGGTGCTCGTAAAAAAGATGTTGAAAATAAAGGAAACCAGTTGTGGCATCTAAAAGGGGCAGAGCCAACAAATGGATCTAATTTATGGTTTGAGCAAGTTGAGCAGATAAAAACAGAAGCTAGCAGCCTTATGGATGAAAATGGCCCGCACATGCCCACTAAAGGATGCTGTTTCATTTGTTCAAGAGTCAAGTTGGCGAAACTTATTGAGGAGAAGATCAGAGATATTCCTAAACTTCTAGGGAATCTTCCACGTTTAGAGGATCCAATTGCTATTCCTGTAAACAAGAGGTGATGTTTTGTCTGCACCACCAATGATGGAACATGAAACTCATAAACAGATCTTTATAAAGACTTGGGGATTCCTACATGATAAAAATGCCAAAAAGATTGGTGTTTGGGGGATGGGAGGAGCAGGAAAAACAACTATCATGTCAGAGATTAACAATCGCCCAGTGAAAGGAAGTAGTCAATTCAATTGCATTATTTGGGTGGAAATGTCAAAGGATCTAAAGAAGGTGCAGCAAGATATAGCTGTGAAGTTGGGTTTGACTTTTCAAGAGGCTGATGATACAAGAGCAAGAGTTTCAAAATTGTTAGAAGCTTTTAATAGGAAGAAGACATTTGCACTGATTTTGGACGACGTTGGGAACCATTCTCTATTGAAGAAGTTGGAATTCATGTGCTAATAGTAGAGAATGATTGTAAATTAGTGATAATAACCCGAAGCCTTAAAGTGTGCAGAGTGATGGAAACAGACAAGGATGTTGAAGTGAAAGTTATTTTAGAGGATGAAGCATGGAATCTCTCCAGGGAAAAAGTTAGGGAACTTGTGCTATCAGATCCAAATGTACAATCAATTGCAATGGATGTGGCAAAAGAATGTGGTGGTTTACTTGTAGCTACTGTTGTAGTTGGACGTGCATTGAGAAACACAACTAATAGTCTAATATAAGAGAGTGGAAGAATGCATTAGAAGAGTTAAGAACTTCAAGTACTGGTATATACAATATTGATGAAGTAGTATGTTCTCGTTTTAAGTTAAGCTATTCAAAACTAAAGGATAATACAAGGAGATCTGGCTTTCTGTTTTGTGCTCTTTACCCAAAAGGTCATCTAATTGATGAGAATGAATTGATTAATTATTGGGTGTGGGGAGATTTATTGGGTGATGTAACTATACCTGCAAAGAGACGAAAGGGGGAACAATTAGAGATGAATTAATAGCTGCTTGCATGTTGGAATTAAAGATTGAGAATGGGGTGAGATGTGTCAAACTGTATGATTTGGTAAGAGATATGGCCATCACAATCATGAGTACAAAGCCTAGATGCAATGTGAATACTAGCACGGGACAAGTAAAACCACCACTACCTCACGAATGGAAAGAAGATATTCAATGCGTGTCATTGATGAGAAATGATGTGAAATCTATAAGTCCCGGATGTCCTGCACTTACTTCTTTGTTACTTTAGTACAATTCATTTGAAACAAATATATTGGATCACTTCTTTGACTATATGCAAGGGCTAAAAGTTCTTGATCTCTCCTATACTGGGATTATTGCTCTACCTATGTCTCTTTTGAATTTGAAAAATCTATGTGCCTTGATATGTAGCCACTGTTGGAATCTTGTTGAAGTTCCATCTTTAGCAAGGCTTACTGAATTGAAGTATTGAGATTTTTCATTTCCTAGACGTTTAACAGAACTCCCAGAAGGGATGGAACAATTGATCAATTTGGGACACCTAGATTTCTCCTTCACGTCGATCCAAAACTTAAGAGCTGCAGTCATAACTAACTTCACTCTCCTGGAGGACTGGTTGATTCTAGGTTCGCCTATGATTGGGGTATTATATAAGGATACGGAACTTTGCTTGTATCCAGTTAGAGTTGAAGAAATCGCATCCTATCATACGTTGTCTCTTTTACACATGGAACTACATGGACTTGGAGCTTGTAAAATAATTCTTAAATGTGTCAAGTATTCTCAATTGAGGGAGTTTAAGCTTGTTTTCAAGGTGACATTCCAGAATTATCTGAGAAAACTAGTTTAGCAATAGATATGAGATGTGCAGTAGAGAATCTTTCAGAAGCCGAGATTACTGAATTAATTGCAAGAAATGTTACGGAGTTTGTAATTCATAATTCATATGATATGATCAAACGCTTGTCTTTGCACTTGTCGGTTGCAATGTGCTTGAAAACTTGCAATTTAAGTACTTGTTTGGACATGGAATGCATTCTGGAATCTGAGGAGAACAACTTCTCCCTGCTAAAGACAATGAATCTCTTTATTTTGCAAAAATTGAGGATGATTTGCGGGGAAGTTGTGAAACCACGTACTCTAATGAACCTGAGGAGTATTCATGTGGAAGCATGTTCATCACTGAAATGTCTGTTCCAAAAGCAGCTCATGCTGGAACGTAAAAGTCTTGAAGAAATTACCATCGTTCATTGCCTGGGAATGGAAGAAATTATTGAAGGAGAGAGGAATACAAACGCTGAAGATAGCGGCCATGCAGCCAAACTGATGCTCCCAAAATTGCAGAGCTTGAAATTGCTTTATTTGCGAAACCTGAAAAGAATATACAATGGGCACATTCAATGTGATTCTCTACGCACCTTTGAGGTCTGTGACTGCATAGCTCTAACTAAATTGCCTCTTGGTCTGTTTGGAGTAGAGACAGGTCAGCAAATGTCACCATCATCTGCTCTTGAACAAATAAGGTGTGATGAACAATGGTGGGAATCACTTCAGTGGGACCAACCCCAAGCTAAGCATCTCCTTCAACCGTGCTTTGTCAATCCCCATAGCAGCAGGTATGCTTCAGATTGTTCTTCAAATGACATATTAACAATTAATGATTGTAAATATGGATATAATTTTTTTCTTTTAATTTTTAAACTGTTTTTATCCACCCCATTCAATTTGATTTCATTATTCAATTTCTCATACATACAGGGACAGGTTTGCTCCAAGCAACAGTAATACAGCGTGAAGGAGTTAATGTTGAAGTTTGTATAATATTTGATATGAAGAAAAGGAAATATCGTGTGCGCCCCTGTTATTGGAGTGTTGGGTTGTTTTTTCCAAATTTATGGTGAGACTAAAGTGAATTTAAAGCTATTTTCAAATTTCTTTGTGAGACTTGCTGTTAACCATATGCTTTAAGAATGATTTGGTTTCTTTGTCAAATAAGGTGTCTTTAATCATTTATCATTATAATTTTCCAAATTTTCTTCTTTGGTAGAATCGTACGCTCTACTCAGAAATAGTAGGCAATAGATTTGAGGAGAACTCACTCCCAAACAAATTTAGGACCGGTTTATTTAACATTAAAAAAAATTATATTTGACATTTTATTCCATGTAAAAAAACTTGGACTCATTTAGCCCTTCGCATCTCAATTTGAATGGTTCGTTATTTCTTCATGAAATTAACTTGCCTGAAGCCATCAAAATTGAGTGTTAGTATTTTTAACGCTGTTTTTCCCGCTTGAAATTAGAATAAGTCTAATGCATTATTAGCACTAAGCCCATGTCTATACATATAGAACTGCAATGCAATCCAAACATAATTTAAACAAGACACTGCAGAATTTCACGCAATTCTCTCCTTAAAAGGAAAATGATGCACAAACATAATTAAATTCTTTTTAATTATTGCCAATATTTGTTTGTATGTCTCTTTAGTCTCACCCTCAATGGATTCCTATCAAATATCACGTACGTATCAGTTAAAAAAAAAGTTTATAACTTTAAACAAATATTTTATAATTTAAAATAATAATAAAATATTAATCACAAGTCCATTTATAATTAGTATTGAATTTTAAATTGCTTCCTTCTTCCCGGTATAAGCCAATCAGAGATTAGGCTTCTTACCAACAAGAGTTTGTCCAGTTAGTAAGGAGTCGGCTCATAATCCATAAGATCATGAGTTCGAATCCCGCTACCGATATGAAGACCTGTCTTGATGCACACCCAGAACCCAACTCACCTAAGCTTTTTCCTATAAAAAAAAAAAAGGAAAAAAGAAACTGGGCTTCTTACCTCCTCATCGTCAAAGAGATTTCTGCAACCATTTTTTTTTTTTAATCATTGGATTTGGACGAGAGCCGCAGCAGCTTGCAATTATGGGAAAAAGGAGGACCAAAAATATGGTTGTTTGTGATTGTTCTTTCTTTTTTTCTCCTTTCTATCATATCTACCTCTCCTCTTTTTCCCTTTTCTGTCCTTTCTGCGAGTGTGGGACGGGTGCAGCACGTGGAAGGCATATTTCTTTTTATATCCGTCCGGATTTCTCCATACCACTCTGAGTTCTGGCGGCCCAAAAGCCGGTGGTTTAAGGTGGCTCAAAATGGTTTGGACCGTCCGTTTTTGTTTATTTGAGAAAAACTCCAACTTGAAAATATTACAGTGATGATGCGCATTCAAGTGGATGCCACTAAAGGCTGCCAAGGAATTTTTTAAATGTTTTTCAGGCAGTTTTTGAATCATAAGAGCTGACGTGGGTTGAAAACATGTCGAGTGACTCACCAGCTAACTGGGACTAAGGGGTGACGTGGATGCAGACTAGGCAGATGACATGACGACTGGCTGGGACTAAGAGGTGACATGGAAGCAGATGTGGCAAGTGACCACCTGACAAACAGGGACGAAGATGTGGAGTGGGTGCAAAGGTGTCAAGTGACTCACTGGCTGACTGGGACAGAGAGGTGATGTGGGTGAAGACGTGTCAGATGACTCACCAGCTGACTGGGCCTACGTGGTTACGTGGATGCAGACATGGCCAATGGCTCACCAGATGATAGGACTGAAGTGGTGATGTTGGCACAGACGTGGCCCCCAATGACTCAACAAATGACGAGAAAAAGCGATAACAAGGTGGCAGAGATGACATTGACTAGGCAACGACGTGGATTGCCATGTGGCTGACGGACTCGTGTGATGACGTGGGAGGACATGGTGTCGCTGAATTCAAAATAAAAATATATAATTATTGTTGACAACAATTCAACAAAGATCCCCCGAATTCAAGATACTCATTTAAAAAAAACCCACAAAAAAGCTTCGTTAGTCAATGGTTTCAAATAACACGACGTGATAACTTTCCGTCAAATATATTGAAATTTTTTTCTTATTTTTTAATTTTAAAAATTTTACGTCTAATTTATTATTTACTTACCGTATTCTTTTAGAATGCTCAATTCAAAATTTTAAATTTCAATTTTCCTTACACTTTGCTACTTGTCATAACATTAGCTTTGTCTTTTTTCTTTTTTTTTCAAATCAAGTCTCCATTTTGAATATTTGGAATTGATTCTTCTTTCAATTTTTTATTCTATAACAACAACATATTTCATAAATTTCTTTTAAACAAGACTTTCACATTACAGCAACGTAACAGATTTGATAATTTTTGTATATAATTTGTTGTTATTACTATTCTGTTATACGGTACATGCAGATTGAATCAAATATACTGAAAATAAGAAATATGCAAAGTGACTATATTATTGATAACTCGTAAATAAGTAAATAATAAGGTCACTGTCAAGGTTTAAACATACAGTGCGAACTAGAGAAATTTAATACTAACAGCTAAGGGTGTATTTGGATTAACAGTGACAAAAGAATTTTTTTTAATCTGATTAAAAGTTAAATTGGGTAAAAGTCAGATAATACAATGTGATTTATGTCTAAATTAACTTTTATAAAAAAAAGTTAGCTTAAAAAATTGAAACTGATTTGAATGATTAATAAAAAAGTCAGTTTAGTTATAAAATGACTAAAAAGAATGCTCCAGTTCTTAATATAAGAGCTAGTTTAACGTTTAATTTGATCCTAAATATAAGACAACACCTATTTATCACAAATAACTATTCTAACTAACTTTCTTAATATTTCCAAATTAGTCAACTAACTTTTATATTAAGAATCAGAAGTAGTACATATTTAATATTAAATGTATGTAAGGTGAAAATTGTAAAAGAAATATGCAAAATAAAATCATGAGTAAAATATATGACATTCCCTGTATTTTGTTCTAATTATACAGACCTCCCATCTATTTTGAAAACATACATTTAAATCCAAACCATTAACTACGTTAAGAATATTTTAAAAAGATACTTTTTTAATTAAAATTTATATTAAAATTCTTTTTACTTACTAATTTACACTTCATATATTAAATTCCTAAATTTTAATTAAATAGCTTTGAAGAACTAAAATTTTGAAAAAACTACAATAAGGTCCCACTTAAGTTATAAATGTTTCTAACAAAATTTTTATTTAAAAATTTTGAATTATGAATTTAAATAATTTCTATAATCTCTTGAACTTAGATAATTTATATTATAGGATGGAAAACACATGTATTTAATATATTTTGTAGCCATCTCAAAGAAACCTAAATAAATAACTTCAATGGCTGTGATGAAAAATTAAAATTATAAAATTTTATAATATAATCAAAATTAATAAATTTTATTATATGTTAAAAATTCATGTATTAAAATTATTTTTTGTTGTATCAATAATTTTTTTTTTACAAATATAAATGTTTAAAGGATTTTTATGTTAATGAGGGGTATTTTAGTCAAAAAAGTTTAAAAGTCAACTAATAGGTGGATAGATGGAAATAAAATATTAAATATGTAAGGAATGTTTGTGTAATATACATTTTACTTTCAAGAGAAATTTATATACATTTTCAAAATAGAGGGGAGTTTTTGTAATTTAAGCAAAATAGAGAGGTGTTAGTATATTTTTAAGGAACAAAGAAGAGATGATTGAGTGTTGTGAGAGTGGGGTTCCGTCTACAGCACTGTCAACAAAGGAGGCTGACACGTTGGAAAGAAGTAGGAAGAAAGTACGGACAAGAGAAGGTGGTGGAACTGTTGGCTGATCGGTAGTAGCACGGGAGGAGGACTGGATGGTTGATGACTCTTAAATAGCCAGGTCATACAAACAGGCATGTTCGAATCACGACAACGGTATGAGCGACGCTAAGGACGATGGTGAATGGTGGCTGGATAAGGGTTGGAAGACAAAGCCGTCGATCGAGAAAATGAACGAGTCACCAACGTCATTGTTCTTCCTACGTTTAGGGAGAAGCTGGCGTGAAAGTGGCACATAACTCTCATTGTCAGGTTATTGGGGCGCATGATACAGGAGGACCACCTGGGGTTGAAACTTCAACAGTTATGGGGAAAGCATGGGGAAGTTGAAACTATTGAGATTGGGTCTGGTTTTTTCTCAGTTAAAATGAGCAACCTGGAGGATTATGAGACAGCGCTAACAAGCGGGCCTTGGCTGCTACATGATCACTACCTGGCGGTGCAACCATGGAAAGCAGATTTTGAACCAAATGAGGAGGTCGTCAATAAGATCGCAGCCTGGGTTTGTATCCCAAAGTTCCCTCTTAACTACCATGACGAAGGTATCTTGCATGTTATGGGTGGCTAGATTGGCCATGTGTTGCGAGTTGATCCCAATACATTACTCCGAGCAAAGGGCAGATTTGCTAGACTCTGTATAGAACTGGATCTTAGTGGCCCCCTCCTACCATCTATCCAAATCAACAGGAAGGAAAAGAAGATTGTTTACGAGGGCCTACATCTGATTTGTTTTCTCTGTGGGAAATATGGACATGATTCAGATAACTGTCCGTGTCGAAACAAGACAGCTCCTAAAAACTCCAATGGCCAACTAGTGGGCTCATATCCTGCTGAAACTACAGTGATCCTGTCAGCGACGCCACCTGTCAGTAAGGATAAGGGGGAGAAATACGATGAGTGGATGGTTGCGCTGGTCAGAACGAGGCCTCACCGAAATGGTGGACTGGGGAACAAACTGATTATGCGAGAAGGTCGGCAAGATCGTCGAGATGCAGGTAGTCAACCCACCAGAGGATCCAGATTTTTGGCTTTAAACGTGGCGAGTGACCATATTCTAGTCGAATCTAACATTGAGAATAATAATATACTGCAAGATATCAGTTGTGAAAATCGTGCTTTAATGAGTGTGCCAAAACCACATGGTATAACCCAAGAGAAGAAGAAGCAAGTATCAAGTCAAAATGAGAGGCCAAAG